AATCTAATGTATGGCTAATAAATTTTTATTAGCTGCCATTATTAGTTTAAAAAAAATGCTAAATGAATTATTGACAATAGTTGCCGCTCTTTTGTTTGGCCACTAGAGGGCGAACTAACACCATGAATTTCTTTCTTGTTAACATAAAATGTAACTTTTGAGTGTTGTTGCTCAATCAAAAACTAGAATCGTGTGATTTGTTACTCACAATGGTTGTAATGGCTGTTGTGAAAGCAGATGAAAGCAGCTGCTTGAGCAGACGGTAGCGATCGTAAAAAGGTTTCATCAGAGTGCGTTCCTGCTTGGTACTCTGGATTTACACAGAAACAGCGTTGCTTTAGTAGAATATAAATTTGACGCAGTTCGTTAACAGATGATGAGAACAAAAAACATACCGGGCGCCCGTGCAGACCCTCAAAGTACAGCAGACACTTCTGCATGCAGGTCTTCTCCATACTCATCTGGAAGTTAGACATCTCCTATTCGTACAACACAAGAAACACCTTATAAGTTTATTTCATGCTGCAATAAACGACACATAGCTTCTCTTTGCTTCCAACTCTAACTGAAATTATGAGGGATAGGAGTTTTTGTGCAGTAGCAACCTTAATGCTGTCAGGCAGGCCCAGCTCCCGCCGTCTTTCCTTCAGCCTGTTGGTTATCGTGTTGACAGTTTCCTCTATGTTCGGTTTGGTGTTGGTGTTATTATTGAGCTGTTGGAGCTCAGTTCCTGTGGGTCCCGCCTCTCTCTGGTCTATATTGGTTCTGCATGTTTCAGATCTGGGACCTAAACCTCCAAGTCCCTGTGGCTGTCTCAGTTTTATCTCTACAGAAAACAAGGCAGAAAGTCAGGTAAATACAGTGAAATAAAAAATAAAAAACTCTGACATTGATCTAAAATATCTGGTTATGTGGGATTTTTTACCCTGATTTTTTTAATGTATTTCACCATATTACACTACACAAAAGTTCCTATGTGGCATGTCTAAAGAAAAAAATACATTTAAATAAAAGTTTTATCATATTCTTAAGTTATTGACCTTTAAGCTGTTTGCGACTCTTGATGAGTTCCTTCATCAGTTTGGCCACTTCTGGATGTGCAGTTTTRTCATTGTGGGCTGGCTGGAAAAGAATAAAAATAATAATAAACTCAGTGTATCTTGGTCCAGGTGTGTGTGTGAGGGGCTATCAGGCCTGTTTTTAAATTGTAGAACAAACTGTAATTTCACAACCAACCAACAGAGGGCGTAATTTGTTAACGTGTGATTTTTTTAGTTTGCAGCGCCTCACAAACAAAACATCARTCTATTTGAGTCCTTTGTCTCTGTGGATTTAAAATGTGTTACTTGATGCCACTGATAAGTTAAGAAGACCTATATTTTATCTTTTATCTAAAAAAAACTTAATTAGAAAAATTTCTTTTGAACTAAGTTTATATTTATGCAAGATCTTACCTTGTAGTGCCTTTCCTGTTCAAAATGCTCCTCAAAACGCCGGATCCTCTTTCTGAGAGTGTGAATGTGTCTGTTAAGCACTGAGATGGACGCAGAACCTTCCTCTGGTTCTGTAAGGACACTGCAGCGAGCACTGAAGATAAAAAGCCCATTAAGTCTACCACTGCTTTTAAATAATCTGCACATTGCTGTGCGCATATTACACATCAAAAACTTTATTTTAGCTATGAAATAAACACTAAAAAATACAGCAAATGGCTTATTTGCTTGTGAGTAATTTAAAGTGAGAAATTATCACATAAAAATACAACTATCCTTTGAAACAGCCTGGGAAACAACAAATGCCTTACATGCGAATGTGCTGGGAGCATGGTGGAGATGGAGCCGTTTCAGGGTCCAKGTTGAAGCGCAGGCTGTGGGTGAGGCTGGGACAGCGCGGCGAGGGGACGGGGCTGTCCCCCGGCGTGAAGCGAGAGAGGAGCGGACCGGCGTTAGTCACTGGTGGACTCAGTGAGGCATCTTCTTCTGAAAGTTCTTCAGAACACACGGCAGCGGAGAGAACAAGACTGGACACGGATAAAGACGGTGACTGAAGGTGCACTGCAGAAGACAAGATAAACATGGTTTATAGGAATCGTCCGATTTGTCTTTTTTATTTAATGTGTTCTTTTCTTTAGTATCAATTTTACCAAATGACAAAGAAAAACAATGGGCTCATAATAAAAAAAAATTTTGATCCACTTTCTGATAATTACAGTAAACGTTCATTTTAATTATTGTCTGTTTGTTAAAAAACAACAACAATAAAGTTATGAAATATGAGAAAGTAAGGTTTCAATTTTCTAAAAAAAAAAGCTAATTTAGTATAATGACTGCTGATTAACACAGCTTTTAATATGGTTTTAATTCTGAGTGTCATTTACTGAAGTCAAAAATSGGTCAAACTAAACGTTCACTCCCAACAAATACAGAAAATGAATTTCATCTTCTAAAACATAAGTACAAAAATGTATTTAAGCTTATTATTTTCTGATTTAGTCCTCATTGCAATACAAATCAGTATCATTCCACCACATCAGAGTCATTCCACTGATTCTACCTTACCGGGCTGAGATGAGTCAACTGTGTGCAGATCCAAAGATGGAGGCAAAGGCAAACTGGACTGATAAAGGTGCTGCGCTTCCATGGGAGGAGGTTGCTGCTGAGCAGGTAGGTTATCCTGGGCTCGGGGGTCTAACGAGTCTAGCGGTGGACCCGAGTCAGCCTCCAGGGCTTGAAGCTTGAGGGATGGACTCTGGAAACAGAAGCAGAACATTTTCTTCAGGGGTGCAGAGGTCCTGGAGGAAGCGTGGTTCGGTCAGACAGAAGTGATTCACATGCTGCTCGGCTGAACTTGGGGAAGGTCCGGTTGAAGTCGAAACGACGCAATCCAGAGTGCGGTCGGCTGGCGAGCTATGAGATGAGAAACGCTCAGAACGGTGCTCCGTAAGCACACTTCACGGCTGATGTGCGAGGAGCGTAAACATTAAACGTGGACACCAAACACGGCCCAGTTCAAGACGGACTTTCCACAGCTGCAGCTCACGTCACGCACTCAAYGGCAGCCTTCCTTCAGGCGAGTCAGCTCCCCCCAACAAGCATTGGCGTCCGCTGTGGGATTCCTGAACAGAAGCTGTGTTTCCCACACYGCCCGACCCACAAGTCTGCGCGTCTAAGAGTGCATGAGACGATGCTGCATGAGTCTTTAAACCCGTCTGACCGGCATCCCTGACACCTCTGCAGCTGAGCAGCCTCCACATGGATTACTCATGATACGCGGATGAAGGCGCAGGGGGGCGGTGGGAATATCGCTGCGTGTCGTGTGGGTGCGTGTGTGTGAGGAGGCACGGTGTATGTATGACGAGGCGTTTCCACAGCAACGTTGTCTGGGGGGCGGGGGTAAGGAGTCGATCTGATGGAGACGGAGGGTAAGCGTGTGTGCGTGCAAGTGGGTGTGTATGCAGTAAATTCTGACTTGGATGCTCGGAGGGAAGCAAGAAAAAAAAAAGAATATTGTGAGCTCAGAGAGGGGGCTCGAATATAAAGCAGGTTTGTTTTGGACATTATATACGCCATTCTTATCATCATCATCAGCAGCAGCAGCAGCAGATGAAGGCTGGGCTTCTTTATCGTCCTTCCCTGGCAGTTCATTCATGAAAAAAAACAGCTTTGTGCGTCACACACAGGAGGTGGGAAGATGTAAGGGAGGGGACCTAGCCAGGCTATTAATACAGAAGCAAAACATCTACAGGCAGGGATCCTCAAAACTAAAATACATCCACAGAGCGTGCATACAAACACACACACTGATTCACACGTTCGAGGTATCACCTGCTTTCCTGTCACAGGTGCTTTTTTTTAATGGGGCGGGGGGAGGGTGGTTAGTCACTGTAAAGACGGTGAAGGAGGAGAACTTACGTCAGAGCTGATGTTCGTGCCTATGCAACCGTCATGTCGGTCAGGAGAACCGCAGCATCCTCCTCCTTTGTTCTTCTAAAAAAACRCACACATCCACAGGCAAAATCATACATTACAGCACAACACAAACAAAACACTGAAATCTAAACAATTTTTCTAGGAAAAGTCAAGGTGAGGATGATGATGACACCTTTGTTATCATTACCATACAGCAGTGTGACCTTGCTACTGCTTATTAAATGTTTAGTAAAATTTTGTTTTTATAATTACAGCACCTTTACTCCACTGGGTGACATTTGTGTTAACAGCTTAGCTGCTTCTTCCTCTATTGAAGTGTTAACGTGACGTTGACAGTTTTATTCGTCTAAAATCTGACATTCAGAAGAGTTTCTTTCCATTTTGCTAACATGCAAGCCTAAAGCTAAAGCTCCACTTTCTCKTCTCTCTGAAAAGTTTTTTTAAGTGCATTTTATGGATAACTCACTCAACTGCACATGCTCAGATATAGCTACACACCAGGGGAAGGAAAAGTGAAAACATAAGTTCTCTTTATCCAACCTGTTTCTCCTAAACATATCTTAGTCYGGTTAAAAACTTACATACATTATGAACATCTTACATTTCTGACAGATTAACTAAGACTTGATCCAATCTCTGCCAGAYGAACAACTGAGAAGTTGAATAGTGATCAAATCCAAGTTATGTACTGAAACTTGTCACAAACTAAARTGACCCAAAACCAAAGCATTTAGAGGACAAAAGTTTAATTAGGGGCTTTAAAATTATTTCTAAATTGTGTATAATTCTTATCATATTTAGCAGAAAGGTCAATCCACCTTGCATTGTGGCACTGTGGCTTTATCTTCATTCTTGCACTTGATGCAGCACAAAAAGCTGGAAAACAAAAGTATGTAAATTAAAGGCAAATACAAAAAAGAATAAATCAAGTTTCCTCAATTTTTTGTACTATTTTTTATTTATTTATTTGCTCCCTCTGGCTGCCCACGTGACTTTAATCCTGAACCCACTGTGCAACGTGTCTCTTGCTATCAATATTGTATCAAACTGGACTACACACAGCTCTGTGCATCTTTCAAGTCAGCCATCTGGCATTAGAGCACCGGTTTACTCAAGCCTGTAATTAATGAGGCACATCCGAGCTGACCTGTCCTCTGGTTTAGRAACACAAACTGAAAGTTAGCGCCCCCACCACGCTAATAGGGTTGTAGTTAGCTGGTCTGCGCCGCGTGAGCCCTTGTGGCAAGTCAAAGTTATTTGGACTKGAATCATATCAAAGCCATGACTGTGAGCAGCACAATGCTCTGATAACCTACTTCGGCACTGACCGCAGGGCTTAGAGATGAACAGAACTGAAGGGAGGGGGAAACAGGAGTAGAGGGGCACTAAGGCATTTGCAGCATCCAAAGCAATTAGATCAAATTAAACCRGATATACTTCTACAGCTACAAAATGAACATGGCCCTGTTAGGAATAAGACTGATTTGGCCACTTTATTTCTTTTTTTAATTGTTATCATAAACTTATCTGACAATAACAAATTGTCTGAAATGAAATTTTACAATCTATGTTTTGTAAAAGTTTTTTTCTCCCTCTCACCTCTCTGTGTCCTGATTCTGTGATTCACTTGCTTTTCTGCAGTCTAATATAGATGAACTCTGCCCTGTGTCTGCAGAAGCCTGAAAAACAGTTCAGTGCATGTCATGAAAAGCCTCGGGATGAAATGTGTTCATCCTACATAACTTAATGTAACACTCACAGGATGCAAAAAAAAAGAAAAAATACAGGCGGGGCAGCTGTTGTTCAGAAAAGATAAGGTGCTTTACAAAATAAATAAAACAGCAGTTTAAAAAAATAATCAGCTGACCAAACAACAAGAAGTTTTCTTTGCGCCTTCCTCCTCTTCCTCCTCTGACGTGTTTGTAAGCCGAGGCATCTGTGAAAACGTCCTGTGGACACACAGAAGGCAGATGGGAACAACCATACGGGGCAAACCGCATCCTCTAAACTCATCAAACGGTGTAAGAGCGACATCTGCGTGAGAACAATTCACCCCTGCGTGCTTTGAGACGGTCGGCTGGGTGGTGGTGGCGGTTGCTCCGGGTCAGCGGGGCAGGAGAGCGCACGGCTCGATYCTGTAAAATCACCGCTTTTCTCCGGAACGCCGTGGTTTGCAATCGATGCCTGAATGTCAGCGCTGACGTCAAAGCCCGTTTCACAATGTTGCACCAGTGTGTCAGGGCTACGAAAACACACAGGGAGAAAAAAGGTAGGAAGGAAAAAAAACATGATTATTCATTGTAATAATAAAGATTTATACTTCAGAAAAACAGCAGTCAGAGCTGTGATTCTGCAGCTACAAAAGCAGAAAACTGTACACTTTAGATAGAAATAAATCCTTCCGATGTTTTTTAGATGACTGTGGTACTCAACATTATAAACAACAAAAACATAAGTGTTAAATAAACAGTAATATATAAATGGCAGACTTATAAAAAACATCTATGTTTGATCTGACTCTACCTCTCATACAATTCTGAGCTGATCCCAGTTCAAAAATCAGCACCGTTTTACAGAATTCACTGCAAATGAAATCCCATCTCCCTCAAACCAACTTTCCACACAACAGAAAATGAGTCACTGGTGGCAAAAACGAATTAATTAGCAAATAGCAGAGGGTGGTGACAACACTCAGTGTGCTAAATGTTCAACAAATCCTGATGCAAAATGAGTCACCGATGATCAAACCACAACATTTCTTTGTTGAGGACTAAAGCGCCGTCGCCAGCACCGATCCCGTCTCGACTCGCTCACCTGTGCGGGACGGCGGATCCGAAGCGGCGGTCTTTGATGCTGAAGCAGACGAGACAAGAAAACATTTTCAGCGAAGTTTCCAGAAAACTGACAGCGGTCAAACTTTACAGAGTGCAACGAGAGGCAGTAAATGGCTCGCTGCTCAGGAAGGATGGAGAAAAAAAGATGGAGAAAAAAAGAGAGAGAGAGAGAGCCCGGATGAGTCAGACCAGGAGGCACAGAACTGACCCACCGACTTCCATTATCACTGTCAGCACACACTGGAACACAAGCGCACACAGGCAGGAGCGCACCGTCACTCGGTCATATTTAGAGTCAGCTCCGGCACAGCAGTGTGGACAGAAGTGGGTCAGTAAGGCCAGGAAAAGAAAGTGCCACTGCATATGCTGAAACTCAAACACTGCTTTGCTCTGACTGACTGATTACTACCATTCTATTATAAATCCTTATATTTATAATGTAACATATTAAACAAGACGTTCATTAGATGTCAAATTCTTTTGCACCACACCTCAACACCACAACACACCTCCTACTGGAAGCACTCATAAAACAGCTGACTGAATACATTGTTCTCCATCTTAAGAGTTGGCTCTCGATATTTACAGGTCATTTGGTGAAAATGATTAGAACAAATTAGATAACAAAGAAAGGTGTCTGTGGGTATAATTAGACAAGAATCCAAATGAGCTGTGAAGCTAGAGGAAAAGATCCAAGAAAGATCAAACAGAACAGAACACAAACACTGAACATGCACACAAAAGCACAAAATGAGGTAAACAAAGGTCACTTTATGCTTCAGTCAAATATTTTCAAACAAAAACGAAGAGTTCATTAAGAAACTTGGTTACTTGGGCTCGATTATGTGCTGCTGCACCTCCTTCAAAGAAAATACAGTATATAGAAAAAATGTCCCAGAGGTGTAAAGTACAAAACCATCAAATACTTCAAGACTTTTACCCAAGTATCACTTGGAGGTACTTTATTCAACACTGGTTATACAACATTTTTTCCAGTTGTTCAATCTGGACTTCCTTTCACTTAGATGAAGAACAAAACAAACAAACAAAAAAAAACATTTGGAATGATGCAGTATCTCATGCCTGCAGAACAGATGAGCGTGGGAAGCTGTTAGTGAAAAATGATTGATATTTATTTGCTCTATGACAGCTCTATGGGGAAAAAAACTGAAAACAACACATTGGCTTCTAGATTCTGCTGACACAGCAGCTTTACACTACTTGTGAGCAGATTGGACAAGCTTGGAATCAAATATACTGTATGACACTGGATTTCTTTTTAKTGTTGTAAGAAATTATCTAAGACTTAAGATTTCATAAGAGGAAAGATACAGCCTTGTATGATCATTAGACCAGGGCAGTTAGCTGTACAAGACTAAGACTTTTTTATGATAATTCAGTGTCAGTGGCCTGGAAATGTGTGTTTGTGAGGACAATAAAGTGAATTTTTAATAAATGTATTAAAATAATTGTGCTTTTTCACTAGCTAAAATGTATATTAATGATGAAAATTTTAAAAAATTGCTGAATAAAAGTTTAGCTGAATTTGCAGTCTTGAAAATTATTAAATTCTGCAATCAATAAAAATGTACATTTTGCTGCAAATATTATGGCTGTAAATGTTACCTAATGCTATTTGACTAATCACTTCAAAGCTCTAAAATTCTTATTATATTGCTTGATTGCTGAATATTGTAATTTAATGATAAATTAAAAAGGTTTTTAGTGAATCAACTGAGGTTTTATAGCAGAAGACTTCTGTTAAATGCAGTAATGACTCTTTTTTGATCCAATTTTACACTAACTAGAAACTCTTGAGAAAGTGAAGCATGTGAATGACAAAATTAGGCGACACAGTTTGATATCATCCTGAAGTGATGAGAGTACCTGTGGAGCTTAGATTGCATCGGAATCATTTGTTCAAAAGCAACGTCCCCGGAAATTGAAGCAATTTCTTCCTCAAACCTCCTCGTGCCACGCTCAGATTCACAGCTGCTAGACTGGACCTAATTGGACAGAAAGAGTGGCATTACTTTAGACCCTCAAAACTTATACTGTGTATATATA